AGGCGACTGCAGCTCTTAGAGCTGATTGGTCACATCGTCAACCAACGAGTGTGTAAAAACCTGGCGCGTGTCCCGTCTACACACTTCTACCTCCTCCCAAAAGAAAACTACCTGATCCTTCCTTTTTTTTTCTTTTCTTTTCTTCTTTTTCCTTTCTTCTCCTCTCTCGCTCTTTCCCCTTCCCCTCACGTCCAGACTCCCACTTACTACGCAGGACTCTCCTGCCTAGGACCACTTTATTATTCCGTACGATGAGTGGGGAGTCCATTGCGTGTTGTTTAACAGTTTTTTATTTTTATTAATGCAATCTATTCCACTTAAGGAACAGGCTGTTTAATGGATCTGAGAGGAAAAGATGCAAAACTATACATTAAAATTGGCAATCAATGATGGAATAATTGATAAGAGAAAAATAAAACCGAGTAACCGATTAAGGATTCAATTTATTCAATTCAATGTTAACCATAAGGATTCAATAACAAATTATTCATAGAACGAAGTATCGTAACAATTTAATTCCATTAAGTTAGTAATTAGTTATATGAATGATCAATTGCAATGTTTTTTACTGACAGGTTCAATGGAGGATATTTCTTGGTGAAACCTGCCTTCTACCCCCACCAAAAAAATAGGAAATTTTTTTTTGTTTCATTGGCCCTTCCTTCTTTTAATGAGAGATCTGAGACGAATACATAATCAATCAAAATAAGCACTCTTCTTAAATTATAACCTATGTACTTCAGTCAGTACTGCATCAAAGATTTATTTATTTTTTATTTATGGGTGGCTTGTTTTATTTTTAAATAATGATAATTAATCTGGAAGAAAAAAACTAAAATCGTAGAAAATAATGTGTAAGTTGTCCTTGAATGGCCGAAAAAAAAATTTAAAGAAACAATAATTCTTTTACAGGGATAAAAATTCTCATATATTTCTCAAGTCGAGTTAAAATATATAAACATTTTATCCCTAAAAGCGTTTAAATTGCTGCAATTACTGTTATAGAATGGGGGGGGGGGAGGCTGAATCCTGTAAAAATAACTAGACATAGAAATTTGCCTATTTCTAATAAGCATGCATGGGATAGAACAAGACGTAAAAGAATTGCATCTCTGCTGATCTTGAGGGGGGGGGGGAGATTGGTTTTGGAGAACCCCAACAGTGGAGAAAAAGCTTCGATTTAAAATCCATTTTTTTTCTAATCCTCCTTTATTAGAAATTTAAAACAAATTACAATATATAAGTATACAATATACAAATATATTTCTCCTTGCTTGGTCCTTCTGTTGCCCGAGGGCAGATTTAAAATTCAAAAAATACTAAAAAAAAAAAAAAGAGTTAATTACACGGTATGTAATATTCAATGCTCCTTATTATGTTACAAACAAAACCTTACATCCCTTATGTCCTCGACGTTATTCCATCCAGATTCTCAAATTTTCACCTGAACCTAATCCACCATCCTAAACCCTCAGCACAATCCTTATCTAGCTCCAGTCATCCCTACGATCCTCCTCGAAGGTTGAAACGGCAGTGGTCTCGAGATCTTTTGTAAAGACGTCACTGGAGTTTTAAAAATCTTTTTTAAAAATTTTAGTGGATAAATTTTAATACTTATTTATGTCAAATGCAAACAATTATTTAGTTAAGGGTAAAATATGATAAAAAAAAAAGTGGAATCTTTCGGAATGAAGTTTTCAAATTTTTTTTTTCCACTGGTCGATATCTCAGCCACATATTGAAACAAATTCAATATATCCTCGTCTTAAATTATAACACACGAACTTCAGATAGTGAATGCAAGCATGTGACAACTAAAAATATAAAAATTATATCCTTTAAAGCATTATTATTCCCATGATAACCTTTATAAAGAAATAAAAAAAAAAGGATAGTATCCAAAATATTAAATCCTAAATCTGCTACGGGGTGTAGTGGATGAAAACGAATAGACTAATTATATAAAACGCGTCTTTACATATTTTAATTTTTAATGTAATTGATAAAAACAAATAGTTTCTCCATTTTAGGTTTTGTGTGTGATCTATTTTGGGAACGCTTACCCCGTGGACTTCCTATTTTCGTCCGGCTCCGCGTAATTGGCAACTCATAACGCAGTGAAAGTAATCCATAATGTTGACTCAGCCAATTTTTAAAAACAGGGAATATTTTTTTTTTTAATTTATGATATTTACAACTGTATTAAGAAAGAATATATTCAGTAAATGTGATAAAAGAAAATGAAAACACTTGTTGAGAAACTACCCACTGGTAGCACTCTTTAAAAAAATGTATTTACAATAGGAGATCTCGAGGTCATCTTCTTTTCAGACGCCTCTGAGAGTTATCAGAGATCGAATAGGAAGCAAGGTTAGAAACCACAGAGTTCGGATGGTTCTGAAGGAATACATTTCAAAATAATCTTTAAAATAGATGAAAATAAATACTAAAAAAACTGAAAGAATAATAATAGGTGTCAAAAAAAAAAATTAAAAACCTAAGGTCTCTCTCTCCAAATTTATACATTTTAGATATTCTTAGTCGGAGAAAGATTTTAAAATATTATTCTGTTATAGTCGTCGTCCAATACTTTTCTGGAACTCTAGGCTTTATCTATTTAATAATTATAAATTAAATTTAAAGGTTGAACAGAAGTTAGTGAACCACTAAAAGATTATACAGATTCGAACTGCACTTATATGGCCATTTTCGTAAATTAGTTTTATTAAGGTATGAAAAACTTATATCATTTTTGGTTGGTTCGAGGAATATAAAAAAAAGAAAAACAGTAATGAATAACTACTTATGTTTTAATTTGAAGATTGTATTAAACTAAAGTTATCGTTCAGCGTCAAAGATTGGGGTACATCCAGACTCTATTAAGTAGGTAACTGATCCTTCAATGGAGATCGGAAAAAAAAAAATTGTCATCATAGCACAACTGTTAAGAGACATAACTTCCTCAACAAGAAATTGAAACAACCTGTAGTAATAGTGGTACAGATGTATGTATATATATATATATATATATATATATATATATATATATATATATATATATATATATATATATATATATATCAGTGTAGTAGTTCTCTGCTAAAAATTTATTTTATTTTTATTTTATATATATATATATTATATATATATAAAATAAAAATAAAATAAATTTTTAGCAGAGAACTACTACACTGACAGTGGCAAGAAAAAAGAAAAACAAATAAATATATATATATATATAGTAACATGTCACTTTTTAATTAGCTCACAACAGTATCATATGAAACAATAAATGATAGAAACAACGTTTTCAGATTTAGTTTATAGTTTAATATTCCATGAACTTTCAAAACGTCCAATCAAAAATATACACTAAAAAGTAATTATACTTCGTTCAGAAAAAACAAAACAAAAGACTAAGCATTCATTTTCTATACGTACATACAAAATATGAATATCATTCATTCAACAACACTTATATGTAAAAAAGATATATTAAATACATAATTACTAGAAAATTTAAAAAAAATTATTAATAAATTTAATAAATAAAATAAAATTAAACAAGTCATTGATAGTAAATGTTTTCAAAAATTGTATCTATACTAAACATAGAAATAATTATTTTTAGTATGTGTTACATATATTTCGTAATATACTTTCAAAACAACATCGGTTTGAAAGATTTTTTCCATAAGGCGAATATAACTAAAAACGTTTTTTTATAACTACGTTAAATAAAACAGTTACAAATTGTAAACGTAATACATTATAAAATTAAATTAATTTATTTTTCTTTTACTTAATAATTACGACACTTGAGCAAAAACTTCAACTAGGAACATGGAAAAGTTAAAGAAATTGCAATTGGTTTGTTTTCTTAATGTTGAAATTTAAATGAAGATTACTCAAGCGAAAAATATCAATTGAAGATTAAAAGATATTTACTTAGAAAATCATTGCCTTAATATTTTATATCAAAAATCAATAAATGACTGTAAGAAATTTTAATCTTAAAAACGAGCAAACTATTCAAATAAATTAAAAATATATATATTTATAATCCTAAACGATTGATGTCAACATGGTTTGGGGTTACTTAAATTGTACTGATTAAGATTCAAAATATTATTTTTTTTTTATTAACTGACAGATATAATTTTGCGAAGTAATCCAAAAATTGATATATAATGTGTCTTCATCTTATTTTTGTTATATAAGTGAATAAAAACAATAATAATTAAAAAAATATTTATATTATGATAGAGGAGAGATTTAATTGAACGAAAACAGGATTAAATCATAGACTCCAGTAAGGATGATTGTTTACTTCTAGTCACTATTCCTTTGTTCTGGAAACAGATGTTACTCCTGATGAACCCCTTAAAAACAATAGGAGTAAAAAGGAACATTTTTTTTCTTTCTTTTTACGAAGAGATAAAAAGATAAGTAATAATTCAGACAACCGTCAGTATCGTAGTAAGAGGGATGTATAGCTCCACAGTTGAAATCGAGAAACATTTAACAGCGGCTTAATTAATCAATTCAAAATCTGCTGAAATTGATTATTTTTATAATTAAAAAAAAAGTTTGAACATTTTTTTTTTACTGTTCCTTATTAACTTACTGATAAATATAATATATTATATTTTTGTATTTATGTTTAAATACTGCTGAAAATTATATGTAAAGTAAAATTACCGTGGACCAGGAAAGATGACACGCATTAAAAATAATACCACTTGTTAACTTCCGATCAACAATATATAAAATATGTATTTACATATAAAAATGTTAAATTAAAATTAAATTCATATCTTTGTAAAAACTGATACATATTTAAAACTTTAAATAAATGTTTATAATTTATTGCCTAGGAGGTATATATAATTCTTTAAAATATTAGATAGTTGAATTTTTGGTAAAGTCAATTATTTCATTGTAATAACAAAATGATAACAGTCGATTTAAAATTGGAAATAAAATTTTTAAAAACTTACCTTTAATGCGATTCGATCATAGTCTGAACTAAAACATAGATAAACGGCAATATACTAAATACTATTGCACACTAAATGAGATCTCGAACAAACTAGCAGGCGACTACTCAAGATGTAAAAAATAATATAAACACGCTCGCGACTAAGTTTGTTATCATACCACAAGCGTTCCTAGCCACCTAATAGTTTACATTTGACTGTTGGGGTGGCTCAGAGCAGCCTAGCGGCAGAGTTCGGTACTAAATGACACTAACCTACAAAGGGGTTGTTTATTATTATTTTGTTATTATTGTTTGTATTATCATAATAAAACATCACAATTGTCTTAAATTTACTTTCGTTGATCATAAATACAAAATAGTCTCGTTCTCCTTTAATAACACTTCTTAATTTCATTTCTATACTAATTAAAAATACTATATTAATTTATATTATTCATATTTTGCAATCACGATCATCTCTTCATAAGTTTAGCCCTAAATAAACTATCTATTTTATGATAAATTAACAACAATCATAGTAAATAATGAAATATTAATATAATTCCCAATTCCATAATTAATTCTGTAATTTAATCATATACAAACACACTATTGAAAGTTTTCAGAAAATTATTGTTTAACAGTTTTAATAAGGTTATTTCAATTATTATTGCCAGATTCGAGAAGGTTCGCCCATGGTCAATGCCAACATGGGAATAAAAAATTTCTTTCTACAGTGTGCTTACATTATTATAATATTTTCATAAAATTTGACAGTTCTAGTTCTTTTATTAATTACATTGAAAATAAACAAAGTAATCCACAATAATTTTGATATTGTTCTATTACATTTCAAATAAAAAATAGAACATAAAGATTTTAGGCTGTTTTACTACTTTGCAACGCCCATTCGTAATATACATCTATAAATACTAAACAAATTGATTACTTATATCTGAAGCCAATATTTGCCTTATTATTTATCTTAAAATAACTCATTATTCATATTCATATAAACTTCAACATGGATCTCGTATGTTTTTGATATTTCGTGGAATAAATGGGGTCTTAAAATTTTATTAAGACAACAAAAATATTATAAATCAAATGAATTCCAATAAATTTCAAAATGTTTGGTATTTTAATAGGGAAATTTACTGTAGAGAAACCACATCACTGCCTACGTGTTTTGTCTCAGTCCGGCTGGAGGTATCAAGTGATTTTGATAATCAAAGTACTTCCAAAGAGCAAATGGAGGAAAGGATACTGCATCTTTAAATTTAAAAAATAATAATAAGGCATTTCTACATTTACCATAATGAAACTTTTGTTTTTATGTAACGTGCTCTTTCTGGTACTGTATGGAGTCGGTGGAGATGAACATTCCCATCTAGTATGTAACTTGTTAAATGTGTTTTTAAATTATTTTGGATCAGTGGCGTATGATATTTAATTCGTTCTTTTATGTTTATCTCAGAATCAGATAGTGTTTTAACCCGGTTTATTTCATCTTAAGTTTTATATCCATACTTCTCAATGTTCACTTTCACATAGTTTATTTTAGAATTGTTGATAAGTTACACGTTATCACTTATGGTTTTCGAATTTGTAATACTCATCAGCCTTGTCTATAAATGTATCCATCATTTTTAAAACTTTTTATTGTAGTTATTGTGATTCTTTTACATCAAGGATTGTTAGGCGTTATCAAGATTAGACCATACTTCAAACCTATAAATCTCAACAGTGATAATAATGAATGCCTTGAATTTGACAACTCTAGAAATTTCTGCATTTTAACTGTTAAATACTTCTCATTAAAAACATTTTTCTTGTTTTGTGGTTTTATTAATCATTTGGAAATGTTTGACTGAATATAATTAAGCTTTAAATTGTTCTATCTGATAGGCTATGAAACTTAACATACTATAGAATACCTAAATATCGAGTTGTATTCATTATCTTATCATGATTCTTAGTTTTAATTATAAGTTTCAATATTGTGTTAATGTGCAGCAATTTTTATTTTAAGTGTACATACTTATACTCTTATCAATTCTGATGTGCATCCTCCATATTTGATATCGTTTATTACAGTATGAACAAAATGAAGAAGTAGTTTTGTGGATGAATACTGTTGGTCCATTCTACAACAGGCAAGAAAGATATGCATACTACTCTCTTCCATTCTGTAAAGGTAACAAGGAGGTTATCGGACATTACCATGAGACCCTCGGAGAGGCCTTGCAAGGTGTTGAACTTGATTTCAGCGGGCTGGATATTGAATATAAAGGTATGTTAATGTCTGGTTATACTGAATTAATTTGAAATATTCAGTAAATATTATATTAAACTTTCATTTAAAAAGATATATATTACTATACTACTACGACCCATTAAGGGTTCAATACTTTTTAAGGAAGTACTGTTTCAACACCAACAGTTGTTTTGGGAAGTGATCAGGCCGGGATATTGCTCAACCACCAGGTTTTCATCTTAATTAAGTATTTAATTGAGAGTACCCATTTTAAAGAGGCTGGGTGTGCCCCAGAAGGATCCATCGACCTCAGGGTTGTTTTGCGGCTGATGAAAAATTACTTGTCATAAGCCTAATTCGAACCTGTGATCTTAAGCTTTAAAAGTCAGTAACCTCTGAGCTACTCCACTATGTTACAATTTATATGTATATATAGAAATTTTATTGGAAATTCATGTACTAATTTATAATTGTCATGTCTGGTTGAAAGGTGGGTTCATATTACATTGATCACTGTATACAAAATTCCAGTTAACAGCCGTGTTAATGAATGAGCTAATTCAAGAGATTAGTGAACACCATTTTCAGTTGAGGTAGGGGTCTTCTCGGAAATCAGTTGTCTCGGTTACATGGACACATTGCACATATTCTTGGACACATTTCTACATTCAAGATTTTATGTTGTGTGATAAATGTGATCTAGACCCGTCTCTCAAACTGATGTGATATTTATGGATTAATATAGAAAAAAAGTTAGTTAACTAAACCTTATTGTATCTGAATCAGTAACTCAATGAGTAAGGCTCTGAACCCCTATGTTCTGGATCGAGGGTTCATGTCTGGCTGTTGTAGGTAGCTAGATATTTGGTTTCATCAGCTGTGATTTGACTCTGGTGTTGAAGGTTGTCTGTTGTGCACCAAACCTCTATAAACTGGTTTATATTTATGAAATAAATAATTAAGGTGGGAAACATGCCATTTGGGGCATTATCTCTGTCATATCACATTCTTGCTCAACCATTGACAAAGGAGCAGTGCTACCTGAGAAAGTAGTTAACCCGATAACTCTCCATGTATTGTAGCAATACAGTATTAAACGTCGCTTAGATTATCCTACTCAGAATGGATATCAAGCAATTGAAAAAAAATTCTTGTTTAAGAAGAAGCAATTTCAGTATCTAGAAGAACGAGTTTCTTTGAATCTCTTAATTTATATAATGAAATTTTTGCTACTATTTTACAAGTATTGCTTCACTTAGACGAAGGGGTGCGAGATCTCATGATCACTCTATAAATGAAATTCGGACAAAGGCGGAGTGTTTCCGATAATAGATGAGAGTGACCAAACCATCTGTTAATGCATAGTCTCAACTGAAAAACACCCAGGGTTTGGATGTCCCTTTTGAGTGAGCGTAAAGAGTGGAACTAGAGTGAAGTAATGTAATTAAGGCCCTGATTTTAATTGAAAAGGACCAGTAGGGAGTTTGTGGAAGTCCCAAATTGAATTATAAATAAATTAATGTTATACCCGTGAACATGTGAATTTCAGCTATAGTTTCATCATATCTTGTGCCCACTTATCAAAGTAGTACTATTTTTTCATTTAAAATTCAATTGACTTTTTCTTTCTTGTAGTCAATATGGTTTTAAAATTAAATTCTCTAACTTTATTAAAACCGAGACTGGTTTAAATTCTTATCTCAAGTTTAATAAAAATCAATGAAGAAGTAGTATTAAAATTAATGTCCTTAAAAATTTCTTGATATTGATATTTCTTTTATATTTTAAGGATATAAATAACTTTTTTTGGTCAAAATGAATGGAAAATTGTATTTATCAATTTTTTTTTTCAAGGAACTTTCATATTAGATGTTAGAGGTTTAAATAATTCTAATATCGATTATTATGGGAATTCAATGGGTTTTCAAAACTTTTAACATTTACTCAACCTTCCAAAAATGAGCAAATTAAGTTGTTTTTTTTTTAAATATCTTGTTTATAACTTTGTAAATTTGATTTAATAATTTCAGTTTCAGGTTATTAATTCTAAAAAATGGAAGTGGATTAAGCTATATTTCATTCATTCTTTATTTGTTTTTTTAATTTAAGAAATTAATTATTCTAAGAAAAAAAAAGTTTAGATGAACATTCTTATTTATTATTTAATCTTTCATCATCGGAGTCCCTATTTAATGATGTGATTTATTTGTATTAATTACCTTATTTTTATGATAAATGTTTTCACATTTAATTGTGTTTCTTTCTCTTTTAAAGATATAAAATTAATAACTGAATTGCTATTACTATGCAGATTGGTCCATGAATTTAGAAGGTTAAAACTTCTCAATTATTATTTTTATTGCCATGTTTTATTTAACTCTTGTAAAATAATGCACTTAAATTCTTTAAGTCTAAATAATCGATATTATAACATAATTCCTTCTTTATACTTTAATATTTACACTTTTTTAAATCAGTACAGTGCAGTTACCAATTAGAAAAATTCTAAAGAAAGTTAGATTTTTTTATTTCTCTAAAATTAAAGTATTAATTTTTGTAATTGTCATGCGAGTAATTTAATATGTAAAAAAAAAAAAAAATGAAGTATATGCAATGACAGAAAAAAAATCCTGCAAATTATTTCACAATGGTTTATTATTTCCCAACAATTATACATCTAAAATAACATTACCTTTCCAGTGTCAAATTAAAAGAAATATAAAGTTAATTCCAATTATTTGTCTCAGCATTTTTTTTTTAATCGTTAGTAATATGTTAAAAAAAAAAAAGCATTACTTCAGTAACACATTCAAAAATCAAAAACCAAAAGAAAGGATATAGTCTTTTTGCAGTATAACATTTTAAAAAATCTAGAGACCATATCTTTGTTCCTAATTGTCCAACGTTTAAATTACAGTATACAGTATCCACAAAAAAGTGTATACTTTTTGAGTTATATGGAATCTAATTTTACCATCCCTCGTAATTTTTTTTTCCAGCTTCTTTTTGTTGAAGTATGTTATTTAGATAAATTTAAAGGGCATCAAGAAGATGAATGTAGACAAGTTTCATTGAAATTTGTGCATTCGTTTAGGTGCTACAGTCTATAGCCACACAGGTTTTTCGGTCGCCATTTTGAAAGTAAAAGGTGGATAGTAACGTCAATAAAGGAGGATCATCCTCAGGTGACCTCTAATTTTAAATCCAAATTTGAAAAACATCGGTCCAGTAGTTTCCGAGAAAATGGCTGGAGGGACAAACAAATTTTTATTCGTTTAAATTCGTTTAATCCTAGGCATCCTGAAACTTAAAACCTCAAATTTTGAGAGGAGGTTATGTGTTTGAATTTTTTGTTCGATTAAAATACTAATGGTTCATTAGTGAAAATAATAAACAAAACAATAAAAATTTGTTAATATTTAATTGTTTAAAGAAAGCCTTCTGATAAACCAAGTTAGATGTCTTTTCTCCTCGGACATTAAACAAATTGTTGGCTCTCTCTACAAAGGAGCAGACCATGTACATGAGAAGAATCCTGTCATACTACATTACATAAATGTACTCAATTCCAACCATTTAAAGTCATAATAGCAAAATAGCTTGTGGAAGGTTGTGTGTTTAGTAACTAGTTCTCGGAAATGTACTCTGTGTCTATTGAGACCAGATTCTTTGGTTGGCTGCAGCAGGCCTTAGAAAATACTATCTATCGATAGACCTTAAAAATACAATAAAATCAAGTGTTAGTTCATCTACCCTTTTGTTTCAAAATTGCAGATAACTGTTTAATTTTATTAAAAATTGTTTCACAGCTCTAAATAACAAAAATAGGAAGATTGGTCTAGCCATATAACTATGGAAAGTGGAAAAACTAATAGATTTTTGTCCCTCTGCTATATTTGGTCGGTAGTCACAGTTAAATGAAATATCTCTAAAATAATATGTATTATTTTGACCAATAGAGGATGTGGTTGCACTGAGGGCTCATTGGTCGGTTCTTTTACATTGGTCATAAAACATTTTACCATAATTCCTTATCGAATAGTTAATAGTTGACTGTTGCATTATAAAGGAAGGAGATGGTCCGGGGTTGCGGTCATAAAAAGGATTTTACCACTATTTAGCCTTTTTATGACCGCAACCCCGGACCATCTCCTTCCTTTATAATTCCTTATCAATTCTAGAGATTTCTATAAAAATTGTTGTTACTCCTTCAATGGCCGGTCGGGACGAAACCTCCCTTATTATCTAATGTTACATCACATAACCTCCCTTCTTATCTCGAGTTATTCCATCGTTTATTTTTGTTCCATTAGTATGATATTCGTCAAATTATATTACATTGTGGGAATTGCCATTTTCAGAAGAAGAGGCTATCAAATATTTTCAAGACACCGGGATAATTGTTTTGTTATTATTACATTTGTTTTCGTCTATTTAATATATATGTTGTAAAATAAAAGTTTTTAATCAAACTGTTTTGTTATTATTACATTTCTTTTCGTATATTTAATATAAATAGGAATTAAATATGTCGTCTATTTAATATATTTTTTTTATTATCACATTTTTTTTTTTTTTTGTTACAATTTCAATAATATGAATATAATGTAATAATTATGAATATAAAGATCAGAATTATCAGTGTTAAGATTATAAACATTGGCAGATGGCAGTCGGACCCGACCGGCTATTTCATGAGTACCAATTTTTTCTTTGGTTAGTCAATTAGATAAAAAAAATTTAGAAGTTTTCATAACCGTTTGTATTTTATTTTAATATGCTGAAGGATCGATATTGAATATTGAATACAGGAAGAATTGAAAAAAGAAAAGGTGTAGAAAATTATCTCTGTACCTCGTGTTATATCAATAAAAAATTATTACACCAAAGGATTTTGTAATCAGATTTCCTTTACTGGCAGAAAGATATATTTTGTGCCATCAAAATAATGTCCCATTCTCAAGCTTGACACGAAGTAATGCAGCTTATCACTGTTTTATCAGAGATCTAATTCAATTATGCTTTTGTTAGCTATACTTTTTTGTTTCTGAAATTAATTCAATTTTCTTCAAAAGGATGTTGATAATGCAAAGCGAGGTAATAATGGAATATTTTTTAAAACAAAGTATTTAATCAAACAGGTCGAATTATGTTAATCCAGAATTCTAGCAACTTGCCCTGATGCATTTAGAAAGCATTCTCCACAGAGACACTACCAGGCTATAACTAATTGGCTTTACCTTGAGAATATATCAGGCATCTAGTAATAAAATGGGATAATTCCATTGTTTGCAGAGTTCATGATATAACTATAATAAATACTAACTAAAAAGTTTATTTGCACTTCAAAATTCAATTCTTCAATTACATTCAGAGGGGTTTTAGAAATTCATTCTATGAATGGCAAACTTTTTGTTCTTTGATGAGTTTTGGAATTTGGACTCACCCTTTTTCTTACTTCAAGCCTTATATAGCATTTTTAAAAATCAATATTTTGTTTATTCAGTTGATCAAGTTTGTGCTAATTTTATGCAAAAAGAGCCTCTAATATTCTTTTCCGTTCAGAAATTGGAACAATAAAAAATAAATATGAATTGTTGTTTATATATTTGATTGGTAGAACTTGAATAGAAAAATTATACAAACTTGTTAAAACCTGAAATTTATAGATCAAATATAATATTTTGAGTAAGGGTCATTATTGATACCTTATTCTCATTTTTTAAAATGTGGAATGTTATTTTTAGATATATCTTTACTAACTTTTTTTAAATTAATTTAATATTTTTTTTTTTTAGCCAGCATCTCTGAAACTACATATTGCGAGATTCAGCTAGACGAAGAAAAACTGAAAGCTTTTGTTTATGCCGTGAAAAATCATTATTGGTATCAGATGTACATTGATGACCTTCCAATATGGGGTAATAATTCTTAAAATATTTTGAGCTATTTAAACTAGAAGATTTATTTTTAAATGTATTTATATCAAAAAATATTTTGTTTATGTAATTACTTTTACTGATCAGATTATTTATTTATTTAAATATATTGACCACTAGAGAGGGAAACAGTAATCTTCAAAGTGAGGGCTCGATCATGGGATTCTGTAAAGTAATAAGGAAATTATGGTTCCGATTAATAAACAGTGTTAAGAAATAATTTATAAAGATTTAACTGAGATCAAATAATAGGTATTGTTTAGATTGATAAACAATTGATATAAAAATATAATATTCCTTTAATTCCAAGCTTAACTGGGCTAATAAATTGGCTGAATAAACAGGTTAATATACTGATGCTAATCATTAATACACATCAATATGTTTTCTTCTTTTGTCTGTCTTTAACAGTTAATTATACTATTAAAAACATGAAATTGTCTGACAAATATATTTTGAATAGGAATGTTACTATTTATTAAAATATATTGAATTTCATTCTATGATATTGGTTGTTGGAAAATAAGTTGTCATGCTAATTTTTCGCTTTTCCGAAAATTGAAAATCTTTTTAGGTAAATTGTTTATCCACAAATTAAGCATTGTAGGACGGTTTCCGCCTTTCTGAAGATGATGTCATAATGAATTATAGCTAATTGGGTTGCATATTTCAGCTACAGTTTATTTATGTAGGTCTTAATATGATGGAATCATTCAAAAAATTTTGGCTTGATATCAATGATATTTATTACTATGATTTTCTGAGATTCTTCCCAGAAGAAAATAATTTTTTATTAAATATATTATAATCTATGAATGGTACTGGATATTTTTAATCCAAATTATAATTTTTTAATAGTTTTAGTTTAGTTTATAGATTTTATTTAATTATAATAACAACTTGGTCTGACTAGTTGACATCTAAGAGTCAGATAATATATCAGATTTACAAAAGTATACTCTTTTTTTATTTTTTTATTACAATTTCAGATATTCAGGTGTTGTGGATAAATTGAGATTAGATAAGAACAAGATATGAATGATATAGTAAATAATATGAGATGTTTATATAAATAAGATTCTATAAACATAACAATATATAAATAATAAATAAAATAAGTATAGGATTGTACGACTAATAATAACAGGAATGACTAATAAAGAGTATATGATAAAGATAATAATGATAAGTTCTAACTAAATATAATACAGTGGAATACAAAACTTAAATAATAGATAAGAAAAAACTAAAATATTAACAATAATTCCAATCCAGTGATAAACTAATTCTGTAGTACAATAAATCAGTACAAAAAAAAAAATTGTACAATAAAAGAAGAGAAAGGGAAAAATCCTAAATATTTTATATGTAAAATTAGTGATAGTTGAAATTTAAAATAAAAAAATTACCCAATTAAAAATTTCTTGTCTAGTTTTCTTAGTGCTTTCAATAGATATGCTGGTATTCAGTTGAACAGATACGGGAACATATAACTCATAGTCTATTTCCCGAATCTATGTTGGTTCAAAGTATTAAGTTTTGTTTCTTAAGCTGTTATGCACTGATTTCCTTTTTTAAATGAATCATTATGAGTAGATTTAAGTATTATTTTGTATATACATAAAATAAATTAGGTAGTTGTGTTTTGAAAATTTATTCTGTTTTACTAGTTTTTGTTATAGTTTTCAGTGTTCTATTCTGTAATTTGGAGAGTTTCGATAAATGATTATCTGCACTGGCCCCATAGCATTCAATCCCTTCTCTTAATACTGATAGAATAATGCCTTATTTATCATTATTAACGATTTTGTAGGCAATAAATAGGCAATCAATTTTGTACGAGCATGTATGTAATCTTTCCATTATACTCGTGATATGGGTTTCCAGGAAAAGTTATGTTTACAGTATTACTTGAGTATTTATGTTTATCAGCTACCTTTAACATTTTACAAAAGCTTAAGAATTTGCTATCACATAACCATTTTTAAAATTAAAAATAGATATTACTTCTTTAAATAAAATTATTGTATATAATCTTTATTTGGGAATTTTCTATTTCTCATTTTATACTATGATTATTAAGTTATTAAAATATGTTATGTAGTTGCATTTTTGTTACACTACAAACAATTTCATTTTATAAATAAAATATACTTTGTTTTATTTCAAATCACTATTTTTAAATTAAAAAACAACTTTTTTTTTAGTTAATTTGATTTCCTATATAAATAAAACTATTAAATTTCAAATTGAAATATAGTAAATATTAACTAATACAAGAGTCTTAATTATTTTGATTTTTTTAAAATCATTTTCAATAGCCTTAATTGCTCTTTAAAATGAAACCGTTTGGAATCAGAGCCTAGTGCTTTTATTTTTTATATCATGTAAACAAAAATTCTAACTATTGATTTTTAGATAAATAAGTTTGATCACGGTTTAACTGTTAAACTTTATTTAGACTTTTGGAGTGATCTTGAACTTGTGTATTTTCAATTTCAATTTATACTTAAGCAGAAAATTGTTATTTTGTGTTTTGTTTAGACAAAAGTGGTTTTATTCTGAAAGCCTACACCAAAATTAATTCTGATTTAAAATTAATTTTATAATCGTTCTTTGTTGAAATCTAATGGTTTTCGAACAAATGTTATATTGATGTGCTAATAATGCTTATTACTGATCATAAAAATTATTAGATCATACAAATTTAAAGTTTGATTTAATATTTTTATTATTTGATCTGATTTTCAGGTGTCGTTGGCGATATGGAAGAAGGAATAAATAATCAAGTATCGTATTATATTTGGACTCATAAAAAATTTGATATTGGTTATAATGGAAAGCATATTGTCGATGTTAATCTAACGTCTGAAGTTAAAGTCAAGTTGGAAAACGGAGCTCGGATTAAGTTTACTTACGAAGTCAATTGGGTGCCATCCAGCGTTAAATTCGAAGATCGATTTGACAAGTATCTCGATCCGAATTTCTTCCAACATCGGGTAATAGTTTTAGGTTATTCATTGGCTCTTTATCGACTAAAGATAAAACTATATTAATAATATATATTAAAAATATATTAATAATAAAATTGATTACATATGTATGGTTTTATATTAGCTTTACATTCAATTTTGTTAAACATTACTTAGTTTTTTTCATATTAATACTATTGTTATTTTTTTTCAGATCCATTGGTTCAGTATTTTTAACAGTTTTATGATGGTAATTTTCTTAGTGGGTTTGGTATCGATGATTTTAATGAGAACACTTAGGAAAGATTATGCAAGATACAGCAAAGAAGATGATTTTGATGATATGGTATGCTAATGGATTATAATAGTATAATATTACTTATTTTTCATTTTAAAATATGTATTAATTAATTCATATTAGTTAGTTTAATATTTTCTTTTTTAATGACCGTACCATTTTATCTCTCTGAAAATATTTATTATGATTTTCATATCAAAATTATTTTAGGAGAAAGATCTCGGTGACGAGTATGGATGGAAACAGGTGCATGGCGACGTTTTCAGACCTCCTACATATTCTATGATCTTTTCTGCAATGGTTGGTTCTGGTTATCAGGTGACAGTAGTCACTTTTGCTGTTATTATTTTCGCCATTCTTGGAGAGCTTTATACAGAGTAAGTTCATCTACTGTTTCTTAAACATGATATATCGCTACTGTTAGTGCAAAAGGTCATAAGGATCAATTTTAAATGTTTATTCTTTTTGCGCTGAAGGTGACATTTTGTAGTCTGCAACTGCTATAAGTATTCTGCTAAAGAGAGAAATAAGGTATAAATTTATGCTAATAAATAATAGTGTTTTATTCTCTTCTACTGTTTCATTGGCCATGGGGCGACCCTGAGTCGGGAGACCCTCCTCGGGCATACCCAGCCTCTATAAAGTGGGCACCCTTAATTAAATAATTAATTAAGGGAGAAAACCTGGCGGTTGAGCGTGATCTCTGTCAAATCATCTCCCTGTACAACCGTTGACCTAGAAACAGTACTTTCCCTAAATAGTACTGAACCCCAGACCCTTCATGGGTTGTAGTGGTACAGGTTTTTTTATTCTCTTCTACAAATAACAGGTTTTTTTATTCTCTTCTAGAAATAACATATGACCTTTTGCACTAACAGTAGCGATAAGATACTTATATAAATATATAATGTTTTTTTATTTTATCTCTTTTACTAGGCGTGGTTCTTTGCTGAGCACTGCTATCTTTGTATACGCTGCAACATCGCCTGTTAATGGGTATACTGGCGGTGGTTTATATGCCCGTCTTGGTGGAAAACAATGGATCAAGCAGATGGTTCTTTCTGCTTTTCTTCTTCCAGCTCTCGTCTGTGGAAAAGCTTTCTTCATCAATTTCATTGCTATATACTATCACGCTTCAAGAGCTATTCCTTTTGGCACCATGGTAAGTTTAAGATTTTCTTTTCTTCTAACTAAATCAAATAATGTTGACTATTAATAACTCGAGCGTCAGCGATTTGAATTATATGATAAAATATTAAAACATTTTCTCCCAATCCCTTGAGAAAACTGTATTAAGTCAACAAAAAAAAAAAAAAATATGAGGGTAGCCCACAAATAGTTTTCAAAAAGTAAAATTTGACTTATACTTGATAGAAGTACTTATTTATATGATTTTCTGTGTTAGTGAAAATTATAAAAAATAATATCTCTATTAGACAAAACATTCAATCTTGTTTCTTGTCAAAAGGCTGTTTTACATAGTCAAGCTTCTCAACCAATGCTTGTCCTATAAGTTTTATGGTTTCTAATCAATAGGTGACAACACAGACTTTATAGACCTTTTTACTCATTTTAGTTTCTCGAACAAAATCAGAATCGTAGTTAACATATTTTTCCATTTGGTGTTGGGGCCAGGGGTACTTCAAAATCGAAGTACAAATCTTTCCCCGGTGAGTTTCCTCAAAGGTGGGGAAAATTCGAGCGAAATTAAATGGTGGGAAAGAAGGGGAAAAAAAGTTGATGGAAATGAGACCTGTAAAACATGAAAAATGTGCATGCACAAGAAAATATTAAAAAATAGAAATATTCAATTAGTAGAAATAGAAAATAAATATAAACCTCCCTTTTTGAACGTTTACAATATTTATTATTAAATAAAAGAGATATATACAAGTTAAAAACAAAATAAACAATGGGAAAAGATTATTGAAATGCACTAAAATAAAATGAAACATAAAATACAATGTTCAGTGAAAATAAAACCAAATTAACCTTTAATAACAAAATATCAACTTCCAAAATTGAAGAAAAAAAATAACTGTCAATAAGAATAAAACTAATTTATCGTGAGAAACAAATCAAATTAATATTTAAATGTTTTCGGTAATGGTGAGATTAAACAAAACAAAAAAAAAGAGCCAAGTTGGAGGTTCTGCTTCCAACCACGTTACCTTCTACAATGTTTAGCTGTCAAAGCAGTCGATGATGAGGGGATCGATGACTCGCGATGATACATAAAGCTGAGATCTTCAAAATGGTAAACGTCCAATACAAACGAAAGATAGCTCCAGACTGACTTTCCGGCAGTATTATGGCATTATTTTGATCAAAGATTTACTCAAAATTTTACAAAGAAAAAAGATAAATAAACATTCATAAATCAACATTAAATAAAGGATGGTGAGAAAAACTAACAATGAACAAAAATAAAGATATGAGCATATGCGGCATTAACAATAGATGTGCCAGGAAATTGAGGTCATGATGGCCAGATGTATTAAACAGTAAATTTTAACATTCTTGAGTCTATCGACACTTGTTCGAATTCAGACTGGGCGGGTTGAAATTTATTTGTGTTGGACCCACGCAATGAATCTTGAGATTCCCATTCTCTTTAAAATAGATTTGATTTTACTTCTATAACCGTGTAGAAGGACTTAACACTAGTTACATGGAATAACTAACCCTAAATATTTATAACTCAAATTGATATTTATATGTTTCTATTTTTTTATTTTCATTAAGTATTTTTTTATCGTTATTATATTTTTCAATTTTCTGTTAAAACAGGTTGCTGTGACGTGTATTTGTCTTTTTGTGATTCTACCTTTGACTCTGGTTGGCACAGTGCTGGGCAGAAATCTCGCTGGACAGAGTGATTACCCGTGTAGAGTCAATGCTGTACCGAGGCCGATTCCGGAGAAGAAGTGGTTTATGGAACCAACGATCATTGTTTTCCTTGGAGGCATTCTTCCTTTTGGTTCTATCTTCATTGAAATGTATGATAAACTATTATTATTATTTATTTACTGAGAAGAAATAAATACCTATTAGATGGCACTAAATAAGAAGATATTTCTTACATGAATACAGCTTTAAGGTTTTATCTATAAATGTAAATAATTTAATGATGCCACTTTTGTACTTTGAATTTCAATACTTAAGTTTCCACTCTTTATTAAATATACAAATATGACCTATTAGAATAAAACTCTCAATATCCTTTCTTGTTAACTATTCTCTTCTATTTGAATTATTTACATATCATGTATTGTTATAATTTATTATTTCTATTTTAGGTATTTTATATTTACATCTTTCTGGGCCTACAAAATCTATTATGTCTACGGGTTCATGCTCCTTGTTTTTCTAATTTTAATCATTGTTACGATTTGTGTGACTATTGTATGCACGTATTTCCTGCTCAATGCGGAAGATTATCGATGGTAAGACTTCATTTGATTTAATGTCTTTGGTATTTTTTTTTTTTCTCTTAATAATTACCATTTTAAAAACTATTTCAGGCAGTGGACAAGTTTTCTGGCAGCTGGTTCAACCTCAGTTTATGTCTATCTTTATTCATTTTATTATTTCTTCTTTAAAACTAAGTGAGTACATAATCATTCAAGCTTTTTGATTAATTTAAAACTGCATTATTTTATTCCTTTGATAGAATAACAAATGGAAACATAAAATATTATGCTCGTCATTCTTTTCAATGCTCATTTTTTATTATTGTTGTTATTGATAATTTTTAAATTCATTTTTTCTATCTGATGAACCTGTACTATAAAAGATGATGAATTTTTAATTATTTCTTGTTTGTCTATCACATCAAATTTTTGTAAAACAATTCTTTTACAATAGTTCTTACTATTTTATGGTACAGTTGCCCCAAAAGAGTAATACTTCCCTATCCCTCATACTCAATAGTTGGTGTTTTATATTCTAGAAACATAAAATTTCTGAAATGTTATCTTTTTACTCCAAAGTCACGAGTCACCCCCAAATGGTTTTTGAACTTCAACATTACCATATCCCATTTTGTTTCAAAATGGTAGCCAATGAAAGGTTCCTTATGCCCTAATCTTGGCTATTAATGATGATGGATAAAATGTACAGGGTGTTTCAGAGTTAAGTAGCCAAACTGGAAATATGTATTAAGGACCTCAAAACAAGAAAAATATTCCTATGAAGATATGTCAGTTGTTTAGGAGATATTCACATCTAAAAATTTTCATTGTTATGATGTTATATTAAGTAAATAAAACTTATTTATTTTTTCTAAATACTTTATTAATGGAATGTAAACATTAAATTCATATTTAATGTTGTTCAAAGTGATTTCCTTGAGCATTAAGACAGGCTTGCATCTTTTTTCAACAGCAGCAGTGGCAGAACGGCACTGGATATGTGTTATTGTTTCGCAAGATTCAATTATCCTTTGTCAGGAATTAAGGTCACTGACCGGACTTGCTCAATCATATCCCAATCAATGGATTGGCCATGCAGGACCAGTGGCTTGCTCTACACGCTCTTCAGACCTGATACCACTGGATTTTTTTGTTTAGGGTGACATTAAACAAAAGGTTTATATGCAAGTCTGGTCAATGACCGTAATTCCTTACAAAGAAGGATAATTGAATCTTGTGAAACAATAACACATATCCAGTGCGTTCCGCCACTACTGCTGTTAAAGAAAGATGCCGAGCCTGTCTTAATGCTTATCACTTTGAACATTTAATATGAGTGATAATGTTTACATTTAATTAATGTAGTAGTTAGAACAAATAAATAGGTTTTATTTATTTCATATAACATAAATAATTCATAACAACGAAAATCTTTAGGTGTGAATATCTCCTAAATAAAACGTTTGCGGACATACCTTCAGAGGAAATTTTTTTCTTGTTTTGAGGTTCTTAGTTCATTTTTGCAGTTTGGCCACTTAACCCTGAAACACTCTATAATGTTTTGGAAAACCTAAACAAAAAATTCAGATTCGAAAATTTTCACTGTCGCAATACTCTCCCTTACTATATATCACATATATTGGTAAAGTGAAAGTAAAAAAAATCCTGATAATTATTTTAAAGTTATATATGTATATATAGCTATTATGAAACAATAAACATTTATTATATTTTTTCATTGTTATTGGCAATAAATATATTTTTTCAAAATTTTTTTTAATTTCTCTCTTTCAGGATGTATGGTCTATTTCAAACAGCCTTTTATTTTGGATATATGGCCCTGTTTTCGTTAGCATTAGGCTTAATGTGTGGAACAGTAGGCTACCTGGGCACTTCCGTATTCGTAAGGAAAATATATTCTACTGTGAAAATTGATTAATTCATAAATGTAAGTATATATATGTTTGTTATTTAATTATGTTTTGTTTAATGTGGAGTTTAATGTAATTTATATTCGTTAAGATCAGAATGGGATGGGAAAAATGCATTATTAAAACTGACCTAAGTTTTTAAATTCCTTTCTTTTTCAAAATGAAAAGAAATAAATTATAATATAAAATGAAGTTAATTTTATATTCGATACGTGGCTGTGAATGTCGAGGAAATCACAGAATTTTATTTTTTAAATAAATTTGTAATTAATTATTTGTATTATTATGTTTTTTGTGATACAGTTGACCCTTATTCATTCGAAATCCTAGGGACTGCAAGAAAGAATCGAATTATTAAGAGATTTTATTATATTTTTGAAAATTGTATGAGCTTACATCAACAGCCTCATGTAAAAAATATAATAGAAAAATTTCATATTATAAAGAGGGGAAGTGTTTAGGTCAAATTATAGAATGTTCTCTCCCTTTCTTGTTACAAAAAGGATTTCGAGTTATCGAGCTATTAAAATTCAGCCTTTTTAATTTACCGAAGTCAACAGTGTTACAATGAAGAGTTATATCCTCGTCTAAGAAACAATCTTAGTTAACTTACTAAGAATACTAATACGAGATTGGAAAGAGAAAAATATAAAATCTTTCTAATAAATTATACTGAGGATAGTCGCTCTGTATATTAAATATTAAAATATATACTTTCCACTAGACTCCTGGCAATTTTTCTGTTTACTTTTCCAAAATAAAATTAAATATTGGTAAGTGGGAAACCTGTAACCTCCATGCCATAGCTGCAGCCTCCAAATGTTTTAGCGCTAGAATTATTATTTAGGTTAGAATTTAATTATTTAGGTTACGAATATTTGAGTATATGCATATGGGTGTGTATTTACTTATTAATAGAAATAGCAATAGTAAAATACAAACTATTATTGCAGCCAACTATTAATATAAACTCCTCTATCTTTGTATGGCTTTCAATAATTTATTTTGCTTATTTTTCACTTTATTTTTGTTTCTTCTTGTTAACTTACTTTTTTCCCTAAATATCTGGGAATAAAGAGACTGCTATTATTATTATTATAAAATTTAAAACTTTAAACTCCAATTTAATTTCAATTTTAATTTTTTTTTTGTTAGATGATGTATGTCACTGTTTAGGGAATTTACATTATAAGGCTGTGCACAAATAGACACCAGAATGCGAGTGCAGTTGGAGAGTCAACAGACGCCATTAACCACTGCCCTCTCCTCTGAAAAAAAAATAAATAAAAAAAATACATTTAGTCGGAAAAGTCATACATATGTGAATAATTTAATTTGTGGACTATTGTACAATGATCGATATAAAAGAAATTTATCATGTATTAGATAAATATTCATTCCCATTTTTCTTTCAATTTATTTTTATTATTTTTTTAAGAGACACATTATTTTTTTTTTATTTTATATTTTTTGAAAATATGATTTAAATTTATAAGTATATATTTGATACATATGTATACAGACTAATTCTTCGGGATAGCGTGATTAGCAAATGCGATCAGCCATTCCCCTGTTGTTATTGTAAATATTCGTGTTTATCATTTACATTATTTTAAAGAAAAAGCACACCCTTTGTTTTGGATAATCTTAAATAATTTTTATTTTGTATAAAATACTATAATAAATATTTATATATATATATTATGTAGATATTAAAAGATTGTGTTTTACTATAATGGTAATTTGATCCTTTTAGGTTCTGTATAGATGTTATTTATGTAAGAAATGTTAAATTATTATTAATTTGTAAATTTTGAAACTAATCTCATTGTTTTAATAGTGTAAGATATTGTTTCTGATTGGACACCTCTATAAATTAGTAAAAATCAAAATAAAATACAAAAAAAAAAACTAACTTATGATTCCAGTTGTTTTCATTTTTTATATTACTGTGCAAAAAAAAAAAAAAAATGTAGACGTTTGCTAGGTAATATTTGCATACAAGAATATTCAACATTAAAATTCAATCGGGTGATAAAAATCGTTTTTGATTTGTTAATTGCCATGTACTGTCACTTTTCAGTCAGTTGTGAGCAGAAATAAGACTTTAATGCAATTCAAACCCTTAAATATGAAATACACTGACCCAAATATTTCATTTTTTTATATAAATGCCATGTTTGAAAATGTCTAGCAGTTCATTAAATGAATTTTGAAGTATATTTTGTTAAAATCATAACTATTAAGGAGAAGAAAAAAAGTAGTTAAGTTTTCAAATAGTTTTTGGCTCGCAAAATATTTAGATATTAAACTTCAAACATGGCTGTAACTATGATTTTTCTGAGGGAGAAGGGAGAGTTTATAATAATTTAATGTTGCCCCTCTCCCTTTCCCCTCAATTAAGGTCAAAAGTTTTTTGATAATACTTTTTGAAATAAATATCTCACGACATTAACTCATTTTATTAATTACATTAAGGTCAAAATAATCAAAAAGAAGAAACAAATATTTTTTAATTAATCTTAAAATATATTCTCTAAAAATTCGGCCACTTGGTGCAAGTTTCTCATTTGGCTATACATCATCCTGTGAGCCTATATTTTATAAATTTTTCACTAAAATAGATTACCAAAAAAAAAAATTATGGGATTCAGTGAAGTTCAACCTTTGAGCCAATTTTTTATTATTTCTATCATAGATTGAAGTAAGCGAAACATATTTGTCTAAGCCAAAAATGTCTTGTTTTAAATCTTTTCTTCCCAAGCTTAATTTTATTCATAAAAACAATTGTTTTTATCCAAATATACGAAAAATACTAAGCATGGATTCGATCCCATCTTATTTAAGTGCACTAATTTTAACAAATGTTTTTTTTGACAAAGCAGGTAAACTACAGCTGATACATTTAAATATGATCTCTGTATATCAGTTATGGATGATTACCCATTAAGGAAAATTACAAATTATATGAGTGATAGAAATTGTACTTAATGCATGCAGAAAATTCGGAAAAAACAAGCCATTACAAAATTTAGAACAGCAGTTAATTTTATTTTTCGCTCTTCATGATCTGAAAAGGAATTAAATATAACTGAAAATCTTCAGTAAAATATATTTAACTCAACTGAGTTTTATTACATCTATTATTATTTTATCATAGTGAACATCATTATTAGTTTACTATTCTATAATATGCAGAAATAAAATTTTATTTTTTATTTGTTTCCAAGAAAGCGACAGAATATTTTATTGTGTGGTTGTAAATTTTTAACCTAAGTTATATGAACTAAATCATTTACTTTTGTCAATCTTTGAACTATCTTTTATAAGAATATGTGTTTAAATATATGTATATAATTATCGTAAAATCTGTATAATGTTTTAAACCTTTCCTTGAAATTAATGTAATTTTTAAGTTACAAAAAATAATACTAGTAGTTTCACAACCAATCCAAATTTTTATATACTATTTCTCATAGGTGTTTTATTACCATAACTTAATCTGATTCTTCATCAAATCCAATGAATTAGCCATCGTTTGAAGATTGTATTCTTCAAATGCCAAAAATAAGCACACTTCCCAGAAAAGTCAGGACAAAAAGTTATAGAAGAAAATAAAGTTTATTTGTACAAATCTCAAAAAGTGATGGATTATATCCATCATAATGTTAGGTTATAATTAGAAAAATAACAAGGATACAGCCTTATGTCTTCAAAATTAAGGCAAAACAAAAAAAAATCGTTAACCTTATGCTGATTCAAGACAAGAGAAAAGCAAATTGAAGATCACACCATGACACCCAATCGCATACCCGAAGAATATGGAGTGATTTAATCTTCGATTTGATTTTCTCTTCTGTCATGATGATGGCTGAATTGGCCAAACTTTTATTTTTATTTTTTGCCTGCGTTTTGGAGATATAAGGTTATGTGGTTGGAATTTTTCCAATTATAATCTAACATCAAGTTTCTGTCTCTTGGTGAGTTTTTTACTGATTTATATTATTATCCATTATTGTTTTACAGGATTTTAATTTCAAACAATTTATTTATTTGTTTTTATTGCCTCTATCCTGCAGGGTCATTGGCAACACTTCCTATTAAACTTTATTATTTTTAAAAATTGTAAGGTTTCTTCTACGGCTTTTGTTGTCCAAGGTTTTTGTTGTCACTGATGTTTTCTTTTAGCCTCAGCCATATCGAGATTTTTCCTTACATTCTTAAATACTGGGCATTCTTGGATGATGTGTTGGACAGTTCTTTCCACCTTACAGCTCTCGCAGGTCGGTGGGTCTAGTCCTCTTAGTAAGTAGGCATATGAAAATTCACAATGCCCAATTCGTAAGTGGCAGAGGACTGTCTCTTCTTTTCTGGAGAGTCGGTTGCTAGTTTTCCATTTGGAACAGTGGCTTTTTATTCCTTTTAGTTGCCATACGTTCTGCCACATTACCCACAATTTTTTTTTAACGATAAAATCTTCTATTGGGATTTCGTTAATTATAGCTGTTGGTTGATTAGTTTTAAACAAATTGAAATCAGAAACCAACCATTTTCAGCAAAGATACAAGCAATTAATTTGTAAATATTTTATATTATATATTGTAAAGTAATTTGTAGATATTTTTTATTTTATTATTTTATATGAAACATTGGAATAAAGCAAGAAAAAGAAAATTTATTCCTCTGCTGCTCCTGCTTATGATTAAACTTACATAATAAAAAAAATGAATAACTATTATTTATACAGTAAAATGTATATACGGGAATAGTAAATTGATTGAAAACAAAAAATTTGTACCACTATAACTGATGAAGGGTCTTGGGTTTAGTACTATTTAGGAAAAGCACTGTTTCTTGGTCGACAGTTGTGCAAGAAGGTGATTTGACCAAGATCACACTTAACCGCCAGGTTTTTCCCCTTAATCAATTAATTATTTCAATTAAGGGTACCCACTTTACAGAGGCTGGGTTGCCCCACGGCCAATGAAATAAAATAAATTATTTTTCTGCCATGAGCCGGGATTAGAACCTGGGACCTTTAGCATTGGAATCTCAGTACCCTACCACTGAACCACTCCCTAGTAAATTGATTAACTATATCGAAATATCATCAGAATAACAGGATCTGCATAGAAGGGAAATCCTTCCCGAGGGTAGACAAATTCAAATACCTTGGGTCCACAATTAACCTCAGTGAATGACCAACAGTCAGAAATAGACCAAACAGAGCTTTCTTCTTCCTTTCAAATGTATTGAAATTCCAAAAAATCTCAAAGGGTGTACAATATTATGATAAAGCCAGTTCTAGTCAGTGATAACTTTGTAAAACCACACGACTTAACATTCTATCATAATTCATTTGAAGTAATATCATCCAAATTTTGAAGACATTAAACAGGTGTCAATAGAAAAAAAAAAATCCTGTATCATTACAACTCATGGTGGTTATTGAGTTCAGTACTTCCTAAGGAACTGCTGTTTCTTGAATAGCATTTGCGCAAGGAGATGATTTGAACAAGATTGCTCTGAACCATCTGGTTTCCCCATCTTAATGAACATTTAATTGAGAGTACCCACTTTATAGTGTCTGGGTGTGCTCTAGTAGGGCCTTCCTATACTAGAGTCAATACACAGCCGATGTAACATAATAAATAATTACCTGCCACAGTGTAACTCAAACCTTGGACCTTGAACGAAACAAAAGGGCTGTCCATATAGCTGTAAGACCATTCTTGCACTATGAGCTACCCAACTCCTGATATAGCATTTAAAAACTTCTAAAAATTATTCATATTTTTTTTATTTTTTTTATTTCTTTATGACATTTACAACTGTATTACATAAATACATCAAGTAAATTTGGACATAATTGATATAATGACATGAATACACTTGCTGAGTAACTACCCAATGGTAGCACTCTAATGATATGACTATATTAGGAGATCACGGGGCCATCTTCTTTTCAGACGCCTCGGAGGGTTATCAGGAATTGAAGAGGAAGCAAGGTTAGAAACGAGAGGGTTGGGATGATTCTGAAGTTTATTATGGAAGGATAGGTATCTGGATTGGGCCAGATCTGAAACATAAGGAACATTAAGATCTTTATGGATAATTTTATTAGTGACAAAGTAAGGAGCATTGAGGATTTTGGATTGTAAGGATTGGATGCGAGAGGAATTCGATGGTTTAGTGGAGCACCATAGCTCAACTCCGTAAGTCCAAATAGGTCTTATTATAGTCAAGTATATAAGTCTTTTGTAATTTATGGGAAGTTTAGAGCGTTTGTCTAGTAAGTGCTGAAGTAATCGGAAACGTCGAGCGGTTTCTTGTCGTTTCAGTCTAGTATGAGGATATTCATGATATTTAAAAAAATAATTGTTATCTTATTCTTATTGAGTGAAACTTCATAAATCTTTATTCTAGTCCTACTTAACTTTAACTCCTGGTATATTTTCAGTGTTCAGTAATCAAAAAATGTACGTTACAAAAAAAAATATTCAAACTTAGCTTAGTCTATTTCTGATGGGATATCGGTTTTTATATGAAATTCTCTAGATATTAGAATAAAAAAAAAAAGAGAAATCTAATAAATATAACATACAGATAACAGAGTAGCAGTCGTGGTATACATTATTTTGAGCACCAAAATCATTAAGCGTGAATTCAAATGTTTCAAAACATTAAAAAGTTTATGTACTTTTAGAGATAAATTTTATTCTCTTTTATCCAAGAACATTAAATTATCTGGTAACAACCATTAAAACCACTTCATATTATTAATATTAATGCTTTATTGTATGTATTACATAAAATTTAACTATAAGAAACATATAGCATTTGATGTCATGGAAATCCGTCAGCCAGACGTATACTATATAAGGCACTAAGTGAAATAAGGGTTTGAGATGACTAAACAACTGCACATAAAATAATTGCTATTACATTTTTAAACATTTAAATGTATTTACAATGCCTATTTACTAATTTCATACCGACGGTGTTAAGGTCAATAGGCAAAAAAATAGAAAATGATCCATTTCGATTCACTCTGTTCTAAAGGAAATAGGCATAAATTTTAGGTCGAGGCCCACAAGTTTTTCCCAAAATTAAAATCTAAAAATTTATTTTAAGAAAATTGGAGAAAAATGTTTTTTTTTTTACCCTTGTTTTTGTATTTTCATTTTTGATGAGCCTTATGCCCATGGAACTAAACACCGTCAATATAATAATCCCATACATGAATTTATAAAACATGAAGGGGAACAAAAATGCTAATTACCAACTGCGGCTTTCGAAAATTTCTTGGAAATAGTGACTATATATTGGAAGGAATGTTATAATGAATCAGCTCTTTTATAGAGGCTGTAAACTGAAAAAGTTCAAAATTTAATCAAATATACTTGCTTCATTATGGTTTATTAGCTTACAAAATATCAAAATAAAAATACAAAAAATAATTGTCTTAAAACAAAGTTTATGTTTTGGTAAAAAATAATTGAATTAATAAATACTAAATGTCTTAATCTAATATAGAATGTAACATGAAAGACTTATTAAGTTATTACTCTCTTTAGTAAGGAGGAGGGAGTATTCATAAGATGAATATTAAATAAATATTTGAGAAGTGTTTAACATGTCAGAAAAAGGTTGCACAATTTCTCGAGTACAAAAATAAAATATCAATCCAAATGTAATAGATATCGGTAGAGCTGGTAATGCTTTCTTGAATATGGCCAACAACAGCAACGTTAAAGAAAGACCAATAAGTATGGCAACAAAGCATGCTATTGTTGTATTCCAATCACCATAGGATGATGCCTTACCTACGAGAACACTGTAAAATATAAAATCTCCAAGACCAAGTTTAACACCTCTCTCTTCATCATCTTCAATTCGTACATGAGGTGGTTCAGTGCTAACAGAAGGTGCAGACCTGTTCTCAGAATGTGCTTGTATCATCCTTCGACGAGATTCCACTCTGGAATCGATCCCTTCGGACCATTCTGATGTAAAGCCCGCTTGAGTACCTGGAGAAGCTGGTTCAACAGTACCTTGATTGTCTCCTCTATCTTCTTCACCAGCAGTGGGGGTAGCCATGAGGCTGTATATCACTGTTGAAGAATAAATTAATGCTGGAAAAATCTGTTCATTTCTTTCTTGAGCAGTCTCTACCAGAATTCTCAAAGGACCTTTAGGTGTCAGTACTGCAAATGTATCCCAAATTGAAATAACACCTAAAACTACCCAGGTGGTCCATTCAGGGAGGTATTTGATGAATATTAGGGCCATTAGTGCAGCAATGAATATCAAATAGGCTTGTTGCAAATGTAAAGGACCTTTCCAGTGAATCACAATTAAACCCATAGTCCCAAAATTCCACATCACTATACCCAACGTAATATAATCAAATGGGATATTATAAGCTCTTAATACTTCAAGGAGGTAAATATATGAAAATATGGAAAGAAGAATCAAAGATGAAAGTATGAGCCATCCATGGATCGTTTTGTAAAATCTATACTTGTAAAGTAGAATCAAAATTACAGTCATAAGAACTATGACACCCATCAAAATAGCTGCATTTGCCAAGGCATTCCATATTTTAACTCCTGGGTCATGTGAATTTTCATGAAAAGGCGTGTAGACTAAATAAAGGTCTTTCTTTTTGTAGAATTCAACTGTGTTCATAGTAGATACTACAACTAATAAACACAATGAAACTGGCACAAACAATTTAATGACATGAGCAGCACCATACTTTAGCTCTTCCTCTTCATCTGGTTCTTGACTACGTGGGTTAGGTTCTCTTCTTCTACTACTTCTTGAAGTATCCCCATCTTCTCCAGGCCTTTCCGGCCTGCGTTTATCTCTCTGTTCCTGAGCATTTCCAGTATAATCAGTTCTTCTAGAATAACTTGCTTCATTGACTAGAGTATCCATCAAACAGGTACCTTCGTTGACTGAATCTGAATCACTATGAGACATTCATGTAAACAAAAGAAAACGGTCAATACAAAACTACCTGTGCAGTAGATATAACCTCTACCGATAACAGTGTTGCCCAATCTTGATGATACAACAAACTATTTAGTAAACTTAAATCAATTAATATTATAAATTAAAACGATACTGAGAAATATATAAAATAAATAATAAAAATTTATAGAAAATAATTTATAATTCACACTAATACTATAATTATAAATGAAATATTAAAAGAATAATTGACTGTATTGCAACTAAAACGTTAACAGCATGAGAATAAGTTCTGATGAGAGTTAAATTTAATTTTTCAATAGTTAATAAAAAACCCATGTCAACTTAGATTAATTAAATCTTTTATTTTTAAGAATAGAATAGAAAATCATCTTTATTCTGGAACCAGGTCCCTTAAGAATAACAATATTGTTCATACAAATTAACTATAAATCTGGCCAAAAGAACTATTACAATAAAGAATACCTAAAATATAAGTAATAAAATAAGTTTATACATAGCTCTGAGTATATATTAACGAAAGCAGATGGGTACTAGGGTTACAATACTACAATGTTGGTGCTAAAACAATAACATAAAAATAACTAAATGAAATTAGAAAGGAATGCTTAATAAATTTTATAGGCAAACCATTATAATGAGAAATATAAAAATAACTATAGTAAATGAATGATTTACATCTGTTCCTTAAGAAGTTTAAGTGAATACACCTAATAAAGATATTGTGAAAACTACATAAGTATTGTGATCTACCCATGAATTGATAAATTATAAGGAGAAAAAAAAGAAGAAATATATATATATATATATATATATATATATATATATATATATTTATAAACTTAAACTTATATATATATATATATACATAGAGAGGGGACACAAAATGCTTTCATTGTTGGTGTTCATTTTTATATTTGGTTGGCATAAAATCCTATAATTATTAATATGTTTTATTTATTTCTTAAATTTATTATTTAATAGTTTTGGTGACAATATTAAATGTTTAAAACAAGTGTTCATTCATAATGTATTAAATATAAAACTCACAGTCTCTTGAATAGATATACTTAGGTCAATGACAAACCCAATATATTTGACTACTATTCAGAAAATTTTTTTTTAAAGTTTCCAAAATTTACCATGATTAATAATAATAAATAAAATTTATTGACTGAAAACTAATAGACTGTGTTAAAAAAAACTTATTGTAAATGAAAAGTCTTGCATATAATATCAAGAAGAATACTAATAATGATTAACGCTTTTAAAGTTCAAACTAATCTAAAAAACTGAGTTATTGGTTTTTCCTGAACAATTGCTATTTAATGACAACATAGGACATTTAAATACCTCAGTTGAAACTGTATGTAACTTCGTTTTCATAAATAAGAAACAGATATTTTATTTATTAATGTAGTGCAGTTAGAAGAACTGAATTAATTTGTTTAATTTGAAACTATTGAATAATAGAATTAAGAGCTGATGTTTTATTAAGAGCATATAATTCATAACTAAAACACTAGAGAGTGAAGTATTATTTAGTCCAAGAATCTTCTCTTTAAAATTTTTTTTAATATGGAAAACCCGAGTGGATCTTGAGACTTAATTTATAGCTCAATAATCTGATAGGTACAACATTAAAATTAATGTTAATAAAAATTTATTGTTGGTTATTTCAATAAATGATTTTGTGCATCGAAAAAAGAACATGCAGCAGACGAAATTATTAAAATAATTTGTAACGCCTTTAAGTAACCCTAAATACAAAAATTTATCATGGAGGATTTTTATTAAAAAAGTCACTGAAAATAAGAATTGGTGATATTAAAATTCTTTGTGAACTCCCCATTAATGGTGAAAGAGTTTAAGATCTGATCATTTCTACCTTTCAGTAACAGTTGTATCACCTTTGATAATAAATAAAATAGGGTTAATTCAATTTGCAATAATTCTGTAAATTTGATGTAAACATATAAATAAATATAATACATTAGAAATGTTTTTGAACAACGCTTGTGTCAATAATTTTCTAATAAATATTATCAAGGACTAATAATCAATAATTACTTGGTATCACTCTTAAAACAAAATCTATTGTGGCAAAAAGAAGAATTTCAATTTAACATTTGAAAAAATAAACGGAATATAACATTTTATTAATTAATTGAAATTAAAAGTTATTTATAAAGTTAGTGACCATTTAAATATTCTAGTAGCACTTATATTTTGTAGTAGTTTTATTACCAAGAAGAGACATAAGGATTATCCTATTATGAAATAGTGAACATTCTATTTTTATAATTATAGATAGTGTATCGTATATATTATACATAGTGCACTTGTTCTCCATTTATATATTTTTTTGTTTTGCTTTTTAAATGTATAACTTAATTTTATTTCATTCAGCTCAATATTTCTGTATTAAAAAGGTTGATATTAAAGTTAATTATAATGATTTCCAAGTTTAAATGAACTTTGATACGAATGTCTAATTTCTTCTATCTCACACTTAAATGATAATTTGTAAATGAATTCTAGAGATTGGGAAAGTTTTTTTTTTCCTTTAAAATATAAATATTAACATAATGTTTAAGAGATAGTTATAGAGATAGGAAACATTTTGCAATTCAAACAGATTAATGTTCCTGTCACACAGCAACTTGATTTATCATTTGCTATATATTATATATCATGTATGATTTATAGGTCATAAATAAATTTGGATGAGTAAATTGATTTATCTCCATATTTGAGCCCAAAAAGCAAAACATGTATTAACATAAATATATTTCTAACAGGAATTATTCATAAAATCGAAGAAAATTATTTGACAGCACAGATAAAAATCAACAATTCTTCTAACACTCTTTTTAATTTTTTTTGTGAAAAAAAATGAATAAAATGTCCAGTGTTCTTCTGTATAACTCTTGGAAAGAGATGATAATTTTAATGAATCATTTTAGCATACAAATATTTTTTTTTTTCATTATAATAAAAATATAACTTACAAAAACAAAATTTCTAAAGAATTATTTATATCTGAATTCTTAGTGATAAACAATCCTTTTATTATATACCATAACTAGTTCTATCTATAAATACATTTATCTCATATTTTATTTCATTGTGCCATTTAAAATGTTTCTAAAATTTCGCTTGCATTATCCATGAATATTAGTTACTTGGATCCATAGGCCTTTAATTATAAACAGCATTAATAAAACAAAAAGTGTATTCATACACTATAGAATGAGGACCAAATGAATAATTAATTTGACAATATTTAAAATTAAATAAAAAATAATATATCTAAAAACAAATAAATATATCATAAGGTTGTTACGAAGTGCATCAGATCGTTATGAACTTCTAAGAGGAATGAAATTCCATTTTCTGTTTTCACTGAACTGTAATTTTTTTTGTATTATGATATTAATAGGAATAAATATGAATTATTTAATATCAATTTGTATGGTTTTCATTTTTTAAGTGAGTATTTACAAATTCAGGAATGGCTAAACATTTTAAAGTTTACCGTTTTATCTCTTCTATAAATGCGCAACTTCATAAAGCCAAATTGTTTTGACATAATCTCTGAGGATTGGTGTGCCATAAAAGATAAGCTTGATCTTTTCATTGCTTGTTTTTAATCCTTAAATGCTTACATAACTCTTTTTACTGCTTAATTTATTATTATTTTTTGGTAAATATTTGTTAAATTATAATTTTTAACACTTTGTTGAAAATAATACAAAACCTTGTGATATGTTTATAATCTTCAGTAAAGCTGTCATTGCTAGTTGTCCTGTTATATAATAATAACAAACATTATCAGATAATTAAATGATAATCTGTTAACCATATTATGTGATGTTTATTCCTACCCTTAGCTGATATTTACAATTTGATTACCGAATTGATGCATTTTCTTTATCAAAATGAAAGTTTATCTTAATGAACTGACAGAAACTTACATAGTTAGCCAATATTCTAGTGAATATTAATTTTGTTCTACCAGTGATAACTTAATATTTTTCATGAGTAGAAGAAAACTCAGTAAGCCTTTCAAATACTAATTCATATGTCCAGGTTCTAGCTCAGAACTACTTTAATATCTATAGACTTTTTTCATTAATTTTAATAATAAATCTTATGTCGTATAATTGATTTTTTTCATTTGGAATTATTTTTTTGGCTATAAAAATGTATTTGCGCCTGTCAACTTTTTGTTGACAATCAGCAAATGTGTCAGAGACACAAGAAATAATGACATGACAGGTATAGGAAAGGACAGTACTAAGCAGCACCTCTTCCCTAACTTGTTTAAATTTCTTAGGTTGTTTAAGGAAGGAGATCTCTCATCCAACTCCTTTTTAATCTCCTAGTCATGTTCTAAAGTATGTTGACTGTGTCCATGTCTTGTATTAATCTATTATTATGTAAATTAGTGTAATATCGTTTGTAAAGGGAGAAATGTTGATCAACTGTTAGAATGTGGAGGTTAGTATGTAGAGTTTTACTAGGCACTTACTAAGTTGCTTTTGTTATGAATCACCATAATTTTGATTGGAAGGTTTGAAGGTTTTGTAGGTGGATCTGATACTGTATATTTGTAATGAGTATGTCCATATATTAGGGTTTAAGTAAGTATGTATATGTATTCAGTTTCAATTTTGAAGTTTTAGCAAACAGTGGGCAAAGTTTGAGTTGTTTGTTAGGTGCCTTATGTTTCATTTTTACAGGAGAGCCCCATGTCATCCTTCAGTTGAAGGTAAGTCCAAGATAACTTACTGTGTCTGTTTGAGGAATTTGATTCTTGTCAATAAAAACTGGAGGGCAGGTTTGTTTTATGATCAATGATTAATTCAAATTTTCCATTGTTTGAACCAATCTAGTAATTTAAGTAAGTGATATAGAGTTAGTGAGGCCTTTGTGTTTTTAGTTGTTTAATCGTTGTTTTTTAGTTGTTGGGTCTTGGTGTTTTATGAGAACTGTTGTATTCTCCTAAGAAGCTGTCAATGTCTCATCTTTAATAAGTATATTGTTAG